GGTGTGGGTGTGGGGGTGTTTCGGGGTGGGCATGGAGAATTGACTCAAACACTTCACAGAACGAAGGACTAAGCTATTTCCCACCTTCAAGTCCGCTTTCTACCCCCACTGCTGTCCTTTGTTTGTACACATTCAAGTTTTCCCAGCTCAAATATCTAAATCTAATTCCCCCCACTGTCTCTTGGATGGAACTGAGTTAATGATCTGCCTCCTTTTCAGAGCTATTGCCAAATTGTCCTGCATGTCTGAGCCCAGAAGGGACTGTGGAATGTGGGATTCGGCTCTCTCGCCATCAGATTCACATTTCTTCGCTTGGTATGTTACCCCAAATCCCCGGCCCTGGGTCAGGCCAACACCCTGTCTCTGTAACAACAACAAAAAGAACCCTAAGAAATTGGGTCTAAAAGGTAAAAAGCTAGTCCCATGACTCCTTGGCTTGGAGCTGCTTGCACCATGCCCCATCCAGGACTGGGCCGATAACTTTTCTTGGGGACTCCACCCCACCCTCGTCTCCTTAGCCCCTCATCTCTTCTGCACCCTTGAGAGAATTCTCACCTATGATTCCGACCTCTCCATCCGCTCTCTGTGGGTTCAGCCTTCTTAAGCTGAGGAAATGTTCATTTTATAATTTTAATGTTTTGTTTTACATTTGACAGTCTTGAAGGTAGGCTCTGCTGGGTCTCAGTTCATTATTACTGCCGCTGCTTGGTGTCTCTAGGCCCATTTTCCTCTGGGAGAGATATTCCTTCCCCCTCAGTACGCCTTTGTGCCACACGGCAGCTTTTGCGTTTCTAAATCTAACAATACACTGACTAAAGATATCTATGTCGTTTCCCTTTCACAATGAAGAGTATAAAAACACAATCCCTACAAAATTATGTTTAAATTTAGTCTTGTTTTATTAAAATGCCTCATGTATGATTAAGTATCCCTAGTCAGTCTACATACGGATCATGCTTTGTTTCTTTGCAACATGTACTTAGCCGTGTTGTAGAGTTGGCACTCCTGTCGATGCCAATCTGGGCTGGCTGCCTTAGCAGTGGCGGCGGTTGGGACTGAAGCTTACGTCATCACGTGCACGTGCCTGCCACGGCCAGGTCCTAGCTTGGAGTTGCATGGCAAAATGTGCCCCGTGAAAGGCCCTGGCCACCCCTGATCGTTCTCTTTGTCTTGTTCCTTTTCTCTCCTCCTCTCTCTGTCTTGTTCACTCTCTCTTTCTCCAGGTTTCCTCTGTCTGTCTCTCTCACATCCGCACTCAGAGCCTGCCTTTCTCTCTCTCCCCCTCCCCCAATAAACCTCTTACATTAGATCTGTTGCTCATGGCCTTAGCAGCTCACCTTGGCCGGCCTGCTAAAGGTTGCTTTTCAACTGATTTATCACTATGAGTCCCTAATTGACTTCTAAGTAGATGCATGGGTAAGCTAACAGTAGTTAACTTGGCCTAACTTCATTTTGTTCACAGCAAAACTAGAGCTAAAAAAAAAATATAATAAACAATGATACAGGATAATGGCCTTGAATCTTCCTTTAAAATAACTAGCGTGAATTTCTAAATTTAAAAAAAATGTAAAACTATTTTAAAAAACAAGATATACATAATGATACGGTTCTGGTCAATGTTGTCCTTGATCCTTATCCCAGTTCTGGCTCTACAATATGGTCTCTATCACCCAGATAATAGCATACATCTGTCCCTTTACATATGTTTTATATATACATGAATGTACACAGAAATACTTGGATCATACATTTCTCATGGGCTCTCCCCTAATATACCTAAGGCAAGGTAAAAGCGTATACAAGAAGGATGTCAGCTTGCCCCTGCTTCTCTCTCCACCTTCCGACTGTCTTGTAACTGAGGTGGCTATGTGTAAGAATACGGTAAAGAAAACATCCCTCCTAGTTTTTTTGTAGGACGCCATACTTCAAAGCCTAGAATTAGCACAGGCCAAGTAATCCAGGGTGGGTTACCTTTTGGATGTTTGAAAAAGTTTATTAGGTAAGCCTGATGGTGACACCACATTCTCTGTTAAGAAATTCTATTAATTTTGGAAATGAAAGGCAAAATCAAGGCAGGTAGAAACACCTAGTATCACATGGACTCTGATCGGTCATTTTCTTACTCTTACCTCACAGATTCGTCTCTTTCCTGAGCTTACAACAAATTCTGGGCACTACACATTCATAAGGTAAACCATAGTAAACCACGCTCAGGGTATCATCCTTTCGCAGTATTATAAAGTACTTATCTTATGTCCTTGCTTACATTTCCCATCTATTCATCTTAATCCAGTCAGTGAGAACATTGGTGTAAAGTTCCTCAATAGCCTCACTAACGCTAGCCAGGACCCCGGATTTGTAAGATGGCTGAGTCGTGATATGTGAAGTTCCTTAACAATCCCAGCAGTCTTCTTTTAGTTTAAAGGCTTCCTGTTCCTGGTACCCAGGGCCTTCCCATATGTAGGCCACCATTTATCTGTTCCCGTAGAATTTAACATTAGTCTTCCCTGACTGCTCTCCTCTGTCTAGATCGGCACTCCACAGTGCCTCAGGGGTTTCTTTTCCTCTTCCCCACATTTATCTAAAATAAGATACCAAGTACCATTTAACTCCTCTCATTATGGAAGCCCAAGGTGGAGACAGCATACTGTTTTAATACCCAGGAATATAGCGAAGAGTCCCAGACCACCTGACTGAAAGAGGGATCAAAGTGTTATGGTATGGAGTCACTCGGAGACTCACCATAACCATAAATAAATTTTAATAAGAGGCTTTTTATTTGGGTATCGGCATCCAATGTGGAGCCAGAACTACCCCTGAAAGTGCTCCCGAGATGCAGACCTTAGTCATATCAGCCAGCTCTTATAAAGGCAAAAACCACAAGATTATATACATGTATTTTGTCTAGATGTAAGCAAGGTCTAATTTTAATCTATGTCTTATAGTTTCCCTGGTCATCTTTATGAGCAGATTAAGCAAATTTGATTACAAAAGCAGAAATAGCAGTTAGTCTTATGACCTACTATCTTGCTAGAACAGCAAAATTTACAAGCTCAGTTAATTTAAGAATAGTCTTTTACCATCTATTCAAAAAGGGAAGTGGGGCTGAAGAGATGGCTCAGTGGTTAAGAGCATTGCCTGCTCTTCCAAAGGTCCTGGGTTCAATTCCCGGCAACCACATGGTGGCTCACAACCATCTGTAATGGGGTCTGCTTCCCTCTTCTGGCCTGCAGACATACACACAGACAGAATATTGTACACATAATAAATAAGTATTTTTTTAAAAAAAAGGGAAGTGGGCTCTTATGTACAGCCTGTACAAGTGAAGGCATGTTTGTGCTTTGATCCCTCAGGTTAATAAGTCTGAATTTTTTTTTTTTTTTTTTGGTTTTTTGAGACAGGGTTTCTCTGTGGCTTTGGCGCCTGTCCTGGAACTAGCTCTTGTAGACCAGGCTGGCCTGGAATTCACAGAGATCTGCCTGCCTCTGCCTCCTGAGTACTGGGATTAAAGGCTTGTGCCACCACCGCCCAGCAATAAGTCTGAATTTTAAAAGCAATGTTAAACACACACACACACACACACACACACACACGAGTTTCAAACTTCTGTGGGAAAATTCTCTATACTCCAAATTTTAATTATTGTATCCTAACATGGGTATCCTATATTTATATATATCCTATATTGTTGTAGACAACAAGAATTACTATACAGAGTGTTTGCTCTTCTCTATTAATAAAGGGAAAGTTATGAGGATAAATTTACACTGGGATTTTGTTCCAGGAGATAATGGGTTTGTGAAATAACATAAATAATTAAAAAATTATGATAAAAACCTGGAAAAATTCAAACACTGTTTGCAAATTCTAACTTCTCTTTCTCAGCTACCTTCTGTTCCATGTCTCAATAATCTTACAGAAATAAAACATCAGGATCAAAAAATACTCATCAGTTAAATGAAAAGATGGTTTAGAATATATTTTTTATAGTTTGTAGCCATTTTAATATTAGAAAACCAATAGCCTTAGGTTAAAACACTCAAGTGGCATTTCAATCAATTTTGTAGATCCCGTATTTAGAAAAAAAAATTCATTTCCTTAGGCCAAGTAAGTTTCATATTTTAAAATAACTACTGTGTAATAGGTACTGTTATTGAAAAATTAAAAATTCTGCAGGATCCCCGGCGGGGCGGGGGGAGGGGGGAAAGGAGGGAGGGAGGGAGAAGCTAAGTTCAGCCTGCCTCAGCAGGTGGGGGAGGGAGTGGGCGTGGCTTGTCTCTTAAAGAGACAGGTACAAAAGACATTTTCATTACCCTTCCATGGCTCTTATCTTCTGAGCCTTACTTCAGCACACATGCCAAGCCAAACACGTAGATAAAGCAGGAAAGCTGCTCCTCTACTTAAAACAAAAAACGGATCTACAAAGCTCAGTGAGATATGAGCTCAGGAAAGCCGATTATTATTTGGTTATTATTTAGTCTAACTGCAAACCAACCTGACATTTTATTTTTGGATTTTCAAGGCAGGGTTTCTCTGTAGCTCTGGAGCCTGTCCTGGACTGTGCCGCCCAGGCTGGCCTGGAACTCACAGAGATTCCCCTGCCTCTGCCTCCCTAGTGCTGGGATTAAAGGTGTGCGCCACCACCGCCCAGTATAGGTGACTTTTTTAACCTACTACAAAGCGTAAGGTCAAAGCCCCAAACCCAAGATGGTCAACAAGGCTGTTAGGGTGATGACCCCCCCCTCCCCGGCTTTCGCCAGCCTGAGAAAGCCCACACTGAATCCCCACCCCCATCCACTGAGCATGCGCAGTGCAGAGTGACCCCCTCCCGCGGCTGGGCGGAAGGGTTTCTCTATCCTCAAGTCCTCCTCGAACACTCTATGGTCCCCGCGAAGCTTTGTGGGTAACAGATTTCTGCCCGGGCTCCATTTTGCCGCCGGCTGTGGACTCGAGCTCCTGAGACCTCTGCGCTCCCGAGACTTCTGCTGTCTGCTGTCGCCATGGGTCGTCGCCCAGCTCGCTGTTACAGGTACTGTAAGAACAAGCCGTACCCTAAGTCTCGCTTCTGCCGCGGGGTCCCCGATGCGAAGATCCGCATCTTCGACCTGGGTCGGAAGAAGGCGAAGGTGGACGAGTTCCCGCTGTGCGGCCACATGGTGTCGGACGAGTACGAGCAGCTGTCGTCGGAGGCCCTGGAAGCCGCTCGCATCTGCGCCAACAAGTACATGGTGAAGAGCTGCGGCAAGGACGGCTTCCACATCCGCGTGCGCCTGCACCCCTTCCACGTCATCCGCATCAACAAGATGCTGTCGTGCGCCGGTGCAGACCGTCTCCAGACCGGCATGCGTGGCGCCTTCGGGAAGCCGCAGGGCACCGTGGCCCGGGTCCACATCGGCCAGGTCATCATGTCCATCCGCACCAAGCTGCAGAACAAGGAGCACGTGGTCGAAGCCCTGCGCAGGGCCAAGTTCAAGTTCCCTGGCCGCCAGAAGATCCACATCTCCAAGAAGTGGGGCTTCACCAAGTTCAACGCCGAGGAGTTCGAAGGCAAGGTGGCGGCGAAGCGCCTCATCCCCGATGGCTGCGGAGTCAAATACATCCCGGAACGTGGTCCTCTGGACAAGTGGCGGGCCCTGCATTCCTGAGGACTTTGCTGGCAGACAAGTAGCACAAGTGATGGTTATGGTTTGAATGTATTTGTTCCGTTTATAGCTTATAGGACGTTAGTTTGCATAGTATAGAACCTTTAGTTGGACAGTGCCTGCCTTGTTTAAGGGACAAAAAAACTGCGGTTTAGAGACAACACATTTGCTATTTTGAACCATCTACTTTAAAGTTTTGGAGTGAACATTTGTTTAGTGAAGGCATAAATGAAACAGTTATGGATTCAGAGTGCTAGAGGAGTTGGAAGATCTGTGTGGAATTATATTTCGAGTGTATCTTTAAAACTAACATATCTAAATTTGGCTGTTTTGCTATAAATTTGTCAGTATTATTTTTAGATTTACCTGTAGCCTCAGGTTATCAATCTTGGAACAGTTGGGTATACTGAAAAGAGTTTTTCTAGACAAGCCTTACATTGTCCTGCACTCAGGAGACAAGATCCAATCTTTTCTTCATCACAGAAAGGTTATAGGTGACAACAGAGTTCATATTGCTTGTGTTTGGGTCCCGGTAGAATCAGCAAAGAAGAGAAAATGACACTAACTCAGCCATCTGCTCTGAGGGGGCCTGAGGGAGCATCTGTAATCTGTTGCTGTTTGCCCTGTATTAGAGTTCCATTGATCACACAGGTGCTTTCTGTTTTATTTAGAAATGATATAACCTAAAATTACTGAGCTTATGCTGTTTAGTTTGTGGTTAGCGTACCTGGTCTTTGATTGAGACCGCTGAATCTTAATCCTGGAACTTCAGCCTCCGGTTTTCCTCCACTAATGACATTTTCAGAGGAAGCCGGATAGGGGGACTAAAGTGCATGGTTACATTGCTTAATGTTTGCGTTTATATGCCTTCCTTAGTCAAATGGCACCGCGTCTGACTTGTCCCTGTAAGTTACTTGTGTGTTTTATACTTAGTTGCTATGACAATATTCATGTTATAGGTAGTTCTCAACAGATAACAAGAATTCATTAAAAAGGCTCTAACAGAAGTACTTACCTGTTGTTTCACTGAGTGCTCTGAGAACATCATGTGCACTTAATAAAGGGAAACGTTAACCAGATAGTTTGACTCCTGCGCAGTCCTTTTTGAATTTTGTCAAACTCTCAGAAATTAAAATTGTCTTAAAAATTCAAAAAGAAACAAGCAATCAAGCCCTTGCTTAACTATTTATTACTATAGCCATAAAATTTTGGGGTCGTTCTTTTTGGTTTCAAAACTCCTCAAACATGTTAAAAAGAATCATAAGACTTGGAACTCTGCCTTCAATACATTTATAAGAAGACAGTTACGGATAAGAGTTTTTTAGTGTTATGTTTGGTTTTGTTTGCTCTCAAGATTAATAGTAATGTTTGTGCGTACAGATGTGTGGAAAGAAGAGGAGGGATCTAATAGCTCAGCAATAGTGCAGAGTGTGCAAGGCTTTGTCTCAATTTGTTCCCCAGCATCACAAAAGAAATCTACAGTACTTTCATGTTAAAAACTGGTGGGTAGCTCTCAGCTTTAGGGAAGAGGACTTTGCACAAATGGGTAAGATACTAAGACTAGAAGTCTGAGCCTGGTGGTGGTGGCACACACCTTTAATCCCAGCCCTAAGGAGGCAGAGGCAGGTGGATCTCTGAGTTCTAGGCCAGCCTGTGTTGAAGGGAGCTGCGGACTGCATTCCTGCAACCCTGCTCCTGGCCACCTGGCTAGTTTATGCCCCAAAATAACACACAATCTGTATTCATATAAACACTGCTTGGCCCATTTCTGTTAATGTGTATAGCACCATGAGGTGGTGACTTATCTTGCCTAACCCATATTTAGTAATCTGTGTGGCACCAGTCTTACCGGGAAAGGTTCAGCATGTCTGACCTGGCGGCTTGCTTCAACGTGTCTGCCCTGGAGAGAGGTGGCATGGCGTCTCTGAGGCATCTTACCTCACTTTCTCTTCCTCCCAACATTCTGTTCTGTTTACTCCACCCACCTAAGGGCTGGCCTATCAAATGGGCCAAGGCAGTTTCTTTATTAATTAACCAATGACCTTCCTCCATCAAGTCTGGTCTACAAGAGCTAGCCACAGAGAAACCCTGTCTTGAAAAAATAAAACAAACAAACAAACAAAAAAAGACTAGAAGTCTGCCTTGGACATTTGGGTTTTTTTTTTCTTTTGTTTTTTTTCTCAAGACAGGGTTTTTCTGTAGCTTTGGAGCCTGTCTTCTTGGAACTAGCTCTTGTAGACCAGGCTGGCGTCCAATTCAGAGATCCACTTGTCTCTGCCTCCCAAGTGCTGGGATTAAAGGTGTGGGCTACCACCGCCTGGTTCTGCCTTGTGGATTCTACCTTAATTGTGATGTTTTGTGTTGTTGTGTGTGGAGCTCACCAATTCTTATTCTAGCTAACTAGCATGCCCCAGGGTTCTCCTGCCATTTCCTCTCAAATACTGGCGTTATAAGTGGTTTTCTTTGTTTTGGTTTTTCGAGATAGGGTTTCTCTAATTTTGGAGCCTGTCCTGGAACTAGGTCTTGTAGACCAGGCTGGCCTCGAACTCACAGAGATCCGCCTGCCTCTGCCTCCCGAGTGCTGGGATTAAAGGCCTGTGCCACCACCACCCGGCCTATACATGGTTTTGACAGGGATCCTGGGGGTCCAAGTCTATATGCCAGTTCTTGTGTTTTTTGTTCAGCAAGGCCTTTAAACACAACCATGTTCAAAGACCTTACCTTATTTTTTGAGGTAGGGTCTTACTGTAAGGTTTTAGAGCTTGCTAAATAAGCTAGACGATGTGGGCAGCTCACCTCCGTGCCTGCCAAGCTTCACCAGTGCTTGAATTACAAACAGGCCACCACTCCTGGCAACTTCCTGGATGCCAGGGCGGAGCTCCTGTTTTCTGATTACAAGACCAGTCTACTGGGTCATCTATCTGCTGCCATGTCTAGTTAGTTTTTCTACAGTTTTGCATTATAAGTGATCACGTTTTTCTAATTACATTTTTATTTCAGACACTGGGGTGGAGGAGTCATATTTGAGGAGGACAGAGGACAATTTCTAGGAATTAGCTCTCCGTCTACCCACTGGGCCATCTCTTTTGAAATAAATTATTTATAACTCCTTTTCCATTAATGTTGATATAAATGTAGTTTCACCAATTGGTTTTCTTTGAAAGTTTTTTTTATGTTCCTAAGCTATGATTTTTTTTTTGATATTTCTGATTTCAAAGTTTCAAATTCTTATTTGAAAAATTTGATGTCAGTTGGACTCAAGAAAAATTGTATTAAGGTTCTTAAAATTTTTATTCAAAGTGAAAATTTAATTTAGAACCTATATTCATGTGTAACAAAACAGCTATTTACTATTTGGGTAATAGTAAAGCCAGGGTCTGCACAGATTTCCATGGCTCAGGTTGCCACCAAAGGCCACACAGATGTCTGGTCTGGGCAACAGCCTGTGGCTATGAGGGCATCTGAGGACCAGGCTGTCACCAGGGACATCCTAATCTGAGTGTTCTGTACATCTGACAGCTGGGGCCATGTGTCATCGGGTAAGGATTGCTGTAGACAGCCATGTCAGCAGCCAGGATCTGAGTTAATATACTGGATTCCTGTTGTCATGTGGAAGACAGATCTGGCCGGCCACCTTGGACCACATTGGTGTCCACAGACCATGTTGTACCCAGGGCCATGCTAATCTGGTTGGCTGGTGCTGCCTCCCTGAGCCATGGAGACATCCAGACACAGACAGCTGCCTAGAGCCACGTCTGGGTTTGTGGCCTTGTGGAGGCCAGGATCTGAGGTAGTCTTCCTGGCTCCAGTTGCCACTGAGGGCTCTGCAAATGCCCAGGATTTGGGCAGCCACCCGGTACCATGTTGTTGCCCAGGGGCTGTGCTGTTGCCGACAGGGCCATGCTGATCTAGGTGGCCTATGTTGTCACCTGGGTCATGGTGGCGTTCAGACCCAAGCTGCTGACAAGTGCCGTTTCTGTATCCATGGTCCTGCTATAGCTGGGGTCCATGGTAATGTTCATGGCCCATGTGAGCATGGTGGGGTTTGGGTGGTCATTAGAACCGTGCTGTGCCAAGTTAGCCCCACCCTTCATTGGCCTTTGGATGGCTGGCCCTGCCCCTGGATACTGCAGCAGGCAAGGTGGCCCTACCCCTCAGGGGAAAGTTTGTCCAGGCACTAGAGAAAGATGACCCCACCCCTCACTACAGGCATGCACTGATGGTGAACCTACCCCCTTGCCATAGCTGTGTACCTCACCCGAGAAGTACACTAGAGCTGACCCTGTCTGTGGTCCTGTGGTCAGGGATACAGGTGAGCCAACCCTAAAGGCCTGAGAGCAGGAGAGCTGACTCCAACACCTCCCCCCCCCCCACTTGTCTGCTGCCCTTAGTCCTACCACCTGTGGCAGGCGAGTGACAGGCCCCATGTGAGTTAGAGAGCTGTTTCTGCCCTCACCAGCTGTAGCACACAGGAGGGTGGCCCTGCACCCCGCCTAGGCAGCAAACTAGATCTGAGCCTGTTGTCAGGGGCATGAGTGAGCCAACCCTGAGAGGATGAGGCAGGAGAGCTGACCTGCCTCCTATTCCTACTGCAGCAACCAGGAGAGAGGGGTTATCTATTTTTTAAGATTTATTTTAAATAATATGTGCTGTGTAGGTGTGTGACCATGAGTGTTTGCGCCTTCGGAGGCTACAGGGCAGATTCCCTGGGGTTGGCAGTTATAAAAGACTGTGAGCTGCCTGCTGTGGTACTTGGAATAAACTCAGGCCCTCAGGAAGAGCATCATAAGCTCTTAACCAGTATGCCATCACTCTACTCTTAATTTCTTAAATTAATTTCATGCAATCCTAACATAACAAGCTGATGTCTTAAACTCATTTCATAGATGTACAAATAAAAGGTAGTGGTTTTAGTTTATCCCAGTGAGGGTATAAGTTTAGATTAACATCTAGTCTTTTTATAATAGTTTTCCTTCCTATCTCCTATAAACTGTGGTGATTTT